TAGAGAAAAAGCTGGGACCAGGTGGATAGCCACGCCCTGATGAGGTTTGACTGACATGTTTATTATACAGGTTTTGTCATCAGGTTATTTGTGAGAAAGTTTTGGCCAAGCAGGCAGTCTGAAGGACACAGGAAACTTGTAAGACATCGAGGTCTCCACCAAGCGGCCTGCGCAATGGTTTCATTAATGAGGTTCTTGGCATAAAAGTTAGCTAGAAGAGATCGAAATAAAACACACAGACTCAGTTACCTTATTTCTATTGCCAGGTCCGAGACGGCTCCCCTCTCTGGCTCCGACCTCTAACCGCCCAGCAGGGCAGCAAGGATTACTCAGGGCTAGCAGGAGAGAGAGAGAGTGAACACGCCTGGGAGTAGCCTTTTATTGGGGAACAAGAAATTCAGGGGATAATTCCATCCAATGAAGGTTGAGGGGGGACTGCACTCCAAGGTCAGGGTCAGTGATTGGGCCCCCAGGGTCAGTGGTCAGTCACACCCCCACACGGACGGGTTCTCTCATCAGGAGAGGGCCGGGAAAATTCCGACACAGCCAGAAGCCTCAGACCCAAACCGGGAGTCACCCAGTCACACGTGAGAATGGCTTCCCACAGAGGTCCTCTTGTTATGCCCAGAATTCTCTACCCCGGGGAGTTGGTGTCTGAATCCAAGGTTCCAACTGTTAGAGCTGCTCACCTTTGCACGTAGCCACCCCTGGCTGGCATTACCATAGCAACTGGAGCATCTCGCCCCACACTATTACATAGGCAGCTCCCACTGCAAGTGCAGCCATGAGGAAATCAGAAACCATAGTTTGAATCACCGCTCTCCACAGGGAAGAATAGAAGTTCAGCAAATTAGACAAAGGGGAATGAAGGGAAGGGATGGGAAATAGGAAAGAGAGTAGAATGAATTGGACACAAATTTCCTGTGTTCATATATGACTACACCACCAGTGAAACTCCACATCATGTACAACCACAAAAATAGGATCCTAATTAGAATAACTGATCGTATGTAGAATATGTCAAAATCTACCCTACCATCAGGTTTATCTGAAAAGAATAAATAAAAAATAAAATTAAAATTTTAAAAATGGACAAAGGACTAATTTCCAAATTATGTAAAGTCTATATGCAATAAATAAAAGACAAACCACCCAATAGAAAAGCAGGAAAAAAAAACATGATCATACATTTTACATGAAGAAATTCTAGAACAACAAGGATAATGGTGCTTGTTCTCATGATCCAGTGTGAGTCTCCCAGTAGGTAGAAGGCTTTTCACTATCTGGCAATTCAAGAGCCAGGCTCAATTTTTCTGAGAGAAGCAGGTAATTTGTTTCCTCTCAATAGAGAAGATCCATCTGCTTCTTCAAAATTCTGGCCAGAAATAGCACACATTCTTTTCCACTGTTGAGAATGTGTTTCTTAGACTCCCTAGAACAGGGGAGGGGGGAAGATGTAGCAGCTTCTTCCCAGTGACAAATTTACAGATCATGAGTTGGGTGGGCAGTCAGTCATCTCTGTCATAAATAGACAGGAAACATAAGGTTAGAAGTTTTATTGCATTAATGATCATGGGAATAGAAAGTAAAAGCATACTGAGATGTAATTTGCCATTTGCTACATTTGCAAAAAATCAAAAGTGAAATCTTTGATTTAAAGTCTTGAGAAAAAAGTAATAGGAACTCTCAAGCCCTGTAGATACATGTTTAAATTAGTGTAATTTAACAAATAGAAATGGTCCTAGTCTTTTGAGGAATCTCCATCCTGTTCCCAAAGTGGTTATATTAATTTACAGTCCTACCAACAATGATTGAGTATCCCTTTCCCTCACATCCTTGTTGCACTTATTACTATCTGTATTTCTTGATGATTATCATTCTAATGGGAGTAAGATGACCCAACTATGCCACCTCTTGGTATTTATCCAAAAGAACTAAAATCAACATAGGATAATAATTCATAGATACCAATATCTATAGGAGCACAATTCACAGTAGCCAAGTTATGAAACCAACCCAAGTCCCCTTCAACAGATGAATGGATAAACAAAATGTAGTATACACACAATGAAATTTTACTCATTCATAAAGAAGAATGAAATTATGACATTTGCTGGTAAATGGATGGAACCAGAGAACATTATGCTAAGTGAAATATGGCAGACTTAGAAAATCAAAGGTTGAATGTTTTCTCTCATCTGTGGAAATGAGTGAAACAAGGGGAAAAAAAGGAGTAGAGGTTACATGAAAACAGGAGGCCAATAAATGGAGCAGAGGAAGGAAACTGGAGGAGAGAGAAGAAGGACAGAAAAAGGGGGAAACAAATGAATTAACCAAATTATGCTGTTTCCACATATGCACACACCACAGTGAATTCCACCTTTATGTATATCTATAAAGCACCAATTTAGGGGTAGGAGGGGAAGGGAGGAGGTATGGGGTTAGAAATGATGGTGGAATGTGATGGACATTATTATCCAAAGTTCATGTATAAAGACACAAATTGGTGTGAATATACTTTGTATACAACCAGAGATATGAAAAATTTAGCAGAAAATTTTCCCTGTTGGCCTATCATTTCCATGATTAATATTTTACATTGGTATAGTGACTTTGTTACAATTGAATCAATATTGGTAAGCTAAAATTGGTGAAAGTCCATAGTTTACACTAGGGTGAATCACTCTTTATTCTACAGGGTTTTGCTTTGAATTGTTTCTCTCTTAGTTTGGTTTTGACAACTGCATAATTACATGTATCTAAAGTTACAGGTTCATACAGAATAACTTTTGGCCCTAAAAATTCCCTTTGTTCTACTTATTCATCCTGCCCTTTCCCATACAAAACCTTGGTAATTGCTGATTCTTGTTTTGCATTTTCTAGAATGTCATATGTAGCTGTAATCATATCCTATGTAGCCTTTTCAGAAAGGTTTCTTGATATAACTATTTTCTAGAAGAATTTAGCAGTGATAATTTGTATATACCTTGCAGTACAATCAAGTAATTCTTCTGTATATATAATTTACATAACCCTTTGCATATACACACTGTATGAATGCATGTAAATTGGTAGCATCAATGTTCATAATACCAATACAGTGAATCAAAAAAAAAAATGATCCCAAAAAATAGAGGACATAAATGTGTTATAGTCTCACAGCAGAAGTTGAAAATATTTAAATGAATTTGACAAGGATAGTAAGAAAAATAAAGGAAAATAGAATAAATCTTTTATTTTATACACACGCATTACAGAGTAGGAAAGATTTTTTAAATGTTAAAATTCTTACAAAAAGTAAAGGAACAGAGAAGATAGTAAGAATACCAGGTAACTTCAAAAGGAATGAAACTACAATTCAGAAATGACCAAAGGAACTTCAACATATTGTTAATTTTCTAGATATTTCTAGCCAAGATATTGTTTAATGAATATTTATTTTAATATTTTTCTTTAAAATGTGATCATATATCATCTATATATGAATACATACTATATATAAGCATGCTACAGATGTCAAAATCCCCAAATAATAAGAAAAAATATGCCTGGCACATGTATATAAACTGCAATTATATTATATATGTTATTTTGCCTATATGTTATTTCAATATTTAGTAGAGATTAAAGTAAAATTTCCAATAAAATTGGTAAAAATATTACTCGGATTTGAAAATTATTCAAGTGGCTTGTAGGTCTCAGGACGTGACTTTACATACAGTAGTCTGATTTCCAGTTTTATGATATTGCTAACTTAGTGCTAGATGCCTAGTTAAAAAAAAAAAAAAACTTCTAATAAATTTGAATTGCCTTTTTCATATCAAATACTAGAGTTAAAGTAAATAACAATTTTTGTCATGCTTGCATGACAAACATGCAAGCATGTTTGTCACAGTAATGAATGTTTAGCAATGAAGTTAAGTAACTTTGCCTTGAGTAGAGGCAGTTTCTCAAAGACTAAACAACACACTACCATTTCAGATGGAAACCAGAACATTTAGATAGTTGAAGGAGGGAAATGTCTTTTTTCTTTTCATAATAAAATATAGTGAATTAAATTACACTGATGCCTGATTTGAACTCAGTTCAGGTTGCCTAGACTTCCTAACATCCTTTCTAGCCATTCTCCAGTCCTGACCCAGATTCGCTGAAGCCCCTGATCTGAATGGGCTTCATCCCCCATGATTACATCACCACCTGGAAGGACTTTAAAACTCTCTCCTTTCACAACTTTGCCTCACACCCACACAATATCTGAGACCTCAAGGGCTCCGTTCAAGTTTATGTTTGACATTTGGGGCATGCGCCTGTATCTGGGTACCATTGTCCTGGCATTCCACAGACAGAAAGCCATCCTCTGTCAGTTAGTAAAAATGTTTTGGAAAATGAATATGAAATTATAATCACCTGGAAAGACTAAAAGGGAGAGGATGGGTAAATATTGTTCAATGAATATTAAGTTATAGTAGGAAAAATAACTTGTGTCCTATGGCACAGCATAGTAACTGTGATAATGATACAATATTATGTATTTCAAAAAGCTAGAAGAAACAGTCCTGAATAATTTCAAAAATAATTTCAAAAAAATTATCCCAAGAAAGTGATAAATATTTGAGGAGATAGATACACTTTCTTTGATTTGGATAGTATACGTGATATATATCATGTATGAAAACATCATATGTTGCCCTATAAATATGTACCATTTTTATTTGTCAATTAAAAGTAAAAACATGTAAAATATATATTTTTATAAATAAATATATAAAATAAAAATATATTAAAAATACAAAAAGTCATTAAAAACAAAAGTAAATCTAGATTTCTAATTAAGGTTACACCCAAAAATTAATTCAAAGGGAATATAATTAAAGACAAAAATAAAATTATAAAGCTAGGATAAAGATGACTTATTATTTAAGAAATGAGAAAACTGTCACAAAAGTCTACAAACTATCAAATTTTTAAAAGACTGATACACCTGATAAGGAAGATAATGCTCATCGTGTTGAAATGGTTCCTCTCCTGATGATGTTTCTGAGAGCTCCTTTCATATCCCGATTCCTCAGACTGTAGATAAAGGGATTCAGCATGGGGGTGACCAGAGTGTACAACACAGACACAATGACATCCTTGTCATTAGTGCTATTAGATGAGGGGACAAAGTATAGTGCAATAATTGCTCCATAGTACATAGAAACCACAGAGAGATGGGAGCCACATGTGGATAAGGCTTTGCAGATGCCCTTGACTGAGGGTCTTCTCAGGATGGTGGCCCCAATGTGTCCATAAGAGACCAGAATGCATATGAGGGGGAGGGTAACAACTGCTGATCCTACAGTAAGGACAGCTAGCTGATTGATGGTGGTGTCTGAGCTGGACAGCTTGAGTAAGGCAGAGAGGTCACAGAAGAAGTGGTGAAGAATGTTGCTTCTAAGGAAAGAGAGACGGGCTAGAAGGAGAGTTTGGAAAAGGGCATTGGCAGAGGATAAAACCCAAGACACAATTACTAACAGAAAGCAGAGGTTCTGACTCATGATTCTGGGATAATGCAGTGGGTGACAGATGGCCACATACCTGTCATAGGCCATTGGGGTCAGAAGGAAGCTGTCAAGATCTGCAAACAATACGTAAAAAAATTCCTGGCAAATGCACCCAGCATAGGAGATGGACTGAGTGTGCGTCAGCATGTTCATGAGCATCTTTGGAGCCGTGACTGAGGAGAAAGAGGTGTCAGTGAGGGCCAAGTGGCTGAGGAAGAAGTACATGGGGGTGTGGAGGCGAGAGTCCAGCCTGATGAGCAGGATGATGAGCAGGTTCCCCAGCACCGTGGTCAGGTACATGCCCAGGAACAGGGCGTAGTACATGCCTTGCTGCTCTGGCTGGATGGGGAGCCCCAGGAGGAGGAACTCGGACACACTGCTCTGATTATCCCTCCTCATGCTCTTCTTGTTACCTTTTTCTGGAGACAAAATAAGAGATGGAAATGTGAAAGAATGAGAAGTCCTTGGGAATATTATACAAGAAAATCATGGTTTTGAACTAGTCAGTAAGTGCATTTTAACCTGAATCTCTCAGGCTTTTTGCCATACTGATTGGCTAGTGAGGGTCAGGGAAAGGATGATATTTGTCCACCTATAAAATAACTGAACATCTTTTGGAGGTACCATGAAACATCAGAATGAATATCAAATCACACCAAGTTCCACTTGAGGAGCTCAGTATGGAAATTTGAGATTAGGGAATTAGTATGCATGACCAAGTCAGTTATCAGCTAATGGAAAGACTATTAGATGATGTGATGTCTAATGGTTTTTGACCTCTCTTAGCCTTCCCCATGCCTCTGAAATACACTTTGGCTAATGATTTGTTTCCACAGACTGAATCAAGAGCACACAGTGGACTGCTTTGGATCTACAGGATATTAAGATCTGAAGACTTGGTGGAAGTATCATATGGACAGGTTGAGGCATGAATGCTAAGTTATGAATCAATGTCTATAACATAAAATATCTAATGACACACCTTGCAATAGGTTTATCTGTTCTTCTTTTAAGGAAGTCCTTTTCCACTCAAGGTTCTTAATTTTCCATCTCTCTTTCTAATGGAATTTTCAAGGGGTGAGGATAAAACTTCTGTTCATGTTATTTGTCCGCCTATAAAACCCAAAATTAACCACCTTGGGAATTCCCTCAATCAAACCAAATCACCCTGTTGAAGTCTTTATAACATTGGGAAATACTTGACTTTTCCAGTCACTTCTTGAATCTGCCAGAGTTTCTTGGTGTCTGCCTAGCAAAAACAAAAACAAATGATACAATTCTTCTTCATGATTCTTAGCCTAGGTTTGATTCTTTTTAATTAGCACATTTTAATTATATATAATAATAGGTTTCATTATGGCATATTCACACATGTTAAAACATACTATATATCCTTTATCCATTCATCCTTTGATGCTATACCAAAGAATCTTAACCAGTATCTTTGTTATATTTCAATATTTTCTACATTGCATAAATTATCATTCCTCTCTTTTACTCCTTCAGGGCAGTTAGTCTTGGACCTACCCATGTAAGCTAACACAAAATAATAGGAAAATAGATTATAATCTGTATACTAAAAATTAAAATACATATTCTTTGTAATGTTTGTTTAAACTGTAATGTTTGTAAAATTTGTTTAAATTGTTGGAGAATGATATTGGCTAAATTCTATTCTTATATTGTGTGCATGTACAAATATGTAATGATATATCCTGTTAATATATACAATCATAATGTACCAATAGAAAATGTGGGGGAAAGTGAAGGAAATTATCATTTGATAGCTAAGGAAGTGTCTCACTATCTGCCTTATCATAAACTCATAAACTCATTTGGGGAATTTAACTAAAGTTTACATAACAACTCTCACAACTTGATTGAAATTATCTTTAAAATTCTTATATCCTCCACACACTATGTTAAAAATTATATTAATGTGACCTTGTGAGCTGATATGGATTATACTTTTGGTTGTTACTCATCACCATGTTAGTAACAATCAAGTTCATCACAATGAAAATAGTAATTAGCTCTCAGTTGGGCATATTGATTTTTTCTAATATTTTTCTATTTTCAGCATATGATAAACATCGTTCTTATATCATTTTTCACAAACAGCATATATATCTGGAATTCTTAGGAATGGAATTTGAGGGAAAATATTCATGGTTTTGATAGAGTGCCAAATTACCAGTGGCTAATGTGAAAAGGAAGTCAATTCTTATTATTGTTTAAAAAGGAGTCTGTAATAGAAGAACATATAACCAGAAGATTATGAAAATGGGAATTCCAGTTTAGTATATGGAGACAACAGAGCCGGAGCATTTAAGAAACAGAAAATAGTAGACCATAGTCAGTCTGGGAAATACACAAGGTGGAGAATTGAGAAGTCAGAGTATATAAAACCCTTTACACTATCACAGAAATTTTAATCTATTCTAGAACAGTAGTACACTCAAGTAAAGAATTAAATAAAGAAGGGATTAATCTTGCTGGCTAGATAGGGATCAGATTATATCAAGGAAAGAGTGTCAGCAGGAATCTGAGTAGGAGGTAATTATAGCAGCTCAGGTACAAAATAATAATACAAAATAATACCTACCTGTACCTGTATTATGGCAGCAGAGATGAAGAAAATAATAGAAACTTATGATACAATTTGGAAGAAACCCCAACAAACCTAATGGGGTTAAAGTTAAGAAAATGAAGTATGTTTTCCCACATCTTTCTCAAAGCTTAGAGATAAACTATGCTATGTGAAGTTTTTTCCTGTTATCTTAAATTTTGGATCAACACTCAATTCAAAATAAATCACTCTACATGGAGCTGTCTGTCAGAGTGTGCTATGAGTGGGGTAGTGTTTAGGCATCAGTTGTACAAACTGGACAAATACACATAGACATAAAACCCAGAAGATTGTACTACTGAATGTAAATTCTATATCTGCTATGACATCGTCCCTTACATGATGAACAGAGATACCTTCAGCAGCAAGTCATAAGAAGGTTCTTCCATTTCTTCTGGAAGGCACAAAATAGAGTAAGCAGGTGGCATTTCTAAAGAGCTTAACGGTCCATTGCAACAAGGAGACAAGTTTTTCTAAACCATTTAGAATGCGCATAGGATATACATTTGTTCACAACTCCTGAGAAATCAGTGTGAACTCTGATTTTCAAACCATGGGGAGGACCTGGGGAGGGGTGGCAATCCCCCATCCCAGATCTAAATTAGAGACCAATAAGATCTAATTGCTTCATTGTCTTTGGCTCTCTTGGGGTCAGAGGCTGAAGCAGGAGTAAGAGTTCATCCTTGGAGGAATAATGACAATAACCACAAAACAGGCGTTAGGAACTTGGTGATTCATAATTCTTTTTGTCATCTCAATTGACCTTGGAGAAAGTATGATTAAGATTCTATAACAAGGGCTGGGGATGTGGCTCAAGCGGTAACGCACTCATTTGACATGCTCGGGGTGCTGGGTTCAATCCTCAGCACCACATAAAAATAAAATAAAGATGTTGTGTCCACCGAAAACTAAAAAATAAATATTAAAAATTCTCTCTCTCTCTCTCTTAAAAAAATTTAAAAAAGAGAAAAGATTCTATAACAAGCCAGGCTGGAGGTTGAGATTGAGAACAAAAGTTTCTTGCTTTTGACCCTATGCTATTTCAAGAACTTCAGAAAAACTCAAATACTATCACTATGATTAAAAGAATTTAGAACATTAAATATCATCATTATTAATAATGGATTAAAAATGAATAAAATATAGTCTCTATAAATTTCAATCTCTTTCTTAAAAGCATTCTATTCTAGTCTATTCAAGAAATGTACATTTCTAGATACCATGAACATGCACATTTCCTACGATAACATGAAATAATCTTTAATGCTTATTTTTTCACCCAACTTACAAAATCAATCCCTAATCCATTTTGTACATCCTAGAATTTCTTCAATGCTGGTAGAAAATGAATATCATGCATTCATTGTTCATGTGAAGATGTTTGAATATTTGTAGATGTTGTTAATTTTTTTCTATTTATGTTAAATTCAAGTTTTACTGAGAACTGCTATTCAAGTAGAAATGTCCTATAAGATATTTAAACTTCCAGAATAGTTTCTAGCTCCTGTCAATCATGGTTGATCATCTGTTTCCCTTATGATAATACTCCAGTTAATTTGTCTGTTTTGTAGAAGTCACAGGTAGACAAAAAACTTTTATCTCAAACACAACAATATCATTGACACCTCCCTCTTTTCTAACATTAAAGAATATATAAAAAAAAAGTTCATGAGATGGCAGATTAGAGGAACAGTTCCACAGCAGTTCTGTAGCTCAGGAAATTAAAAGTGGGAAAACTGCTCCTCAGCAAGATGGGCAAACAAGAGAATGAACTGAAATCTAATGTTGGACAGCAAAATAATCTCAGAGACACAGAAAGTTAGAAACTTTGATCATAACATAGGGACAGTACGTTACAGATGCACTTCCCACCACTGAGGGGATGGGAAGCACAGAGAGAGAGAGAAAACCTTGGTGAGTAAAATTGACTTGGGAGAACCTGTGGAATAGAGAGGGGGTTTGATGTGAACTGATACAGAGATGGTGGGAGAAGTTGGGTGAAGAGTATTTCAATTCACTCCCTGAAGGGCAGATTGTCCACAGGAGTCAGAGTTCCTGTGCAGGAACCAGTTTTGAATATCCATGTGACAGTGAGCACAGTGAGTTGTGAGATTAGGAAACCATAGGAAGACACCAGCCTGACCTAGCAGTTGCTGATTGTAGGGTCCAGAGTATGCCTGGGCCAACGTGATTGAAACAGCACAGAGAGGACAGTGCTGGGTGGCACTGGGTGGCCATAGTGAGGAGAGAGCCCATCTTGGTGCTGGCATCCCATATGAGCTCTACAAAGATTCCAGTAGCCAGTCTGACAACTAGGTCTGATGTCCAACTCACCACTCCTCTTCAATGTAGTTTTTGAAACTCTCATCAGAGCAATCATACAAGCAAAGGAAATTAAAATGATACAACTATGAAAAGAAGTCAAATTATCGTTTGCTGATGGAACTTTCCTCTATCTAGAAAATCCAAATAACTCCACCAGAAGTCTTCTAGAGCTGATAAATAATTTCAGTAAAGTAGAAGAATAAATGATGAACATTCATAAATCAATAGCTTTTCTCTACTCCAATAGTAATTCTGCTGAGAAGGAGATCAGGAAAACTGTCCCATTTACAATAACACCAAAAATATAATAAAAGACTTGGGAATGAATTTAACCAAGGAAGTCAAAGACCTCTATAATGAAAACTACAGAATACTGGATAAATAAATTAAAGAAGAACTTAGAAGATGGAAAAACTTCCAAGTTCTTGGGTTAGCAGAATTAATA